CCATGCACCTACCATGGGCCTGCAGGGGAATCCTTTGCCCTACTGACCTTTGGTCTCYTTATCTGCAAAGTGGAGCAAATAAGATCTGCCAGTTACCTCATTCAAGTGTCATTATGATCAAATGACATAAGAAATATCAAAGGATTTTCCAACTAAGTGTGTGGAGCAAATGTTGCGAAGGGTGTGATTGTTAGACTGGGAGGCCTGGAGCCCGAGCTGGCGTCAGAATTCTCTCTGTACACGTTGCTTTATGCTTGTGTGTATATATTCCCAAGGTGTTTTTAGGACAGTTTTTTTTTTTGTTTTGTTTTGTTTTGCTTTTGAATGATTACAAGTCATAAACAGCACATTTGAAAAGGCAACATGGTATCATGTTGGTTGTAGTTGTGTCTGAACAGGAAATTATGGGTGATTTTGATTTCTCTCTCTACTTTTTTTCTTCAGAATGAGTTGGTTTACTTGAAAATAAAAAGAAAGATGGTCACATAAAAATTAGAAGTATTGCACAGAACATAACAACCTTAATGGAAATAAAAATATAAGAAGGGAAATACCCACCCATAGTCCTGTTACCCCTAAGGTACCAAACAGCCTCTTTCTTCCCTCCTACCTTGGAATCTTTGACTGTGAGCACATTGAATTTGTAGGTGGTTGTGACCAGATGATCCACTGCACAATAAAGCAAGACTACCCAAAATCTGAGGAGGGGTGGGACTGTCGGGCCAGTTACAGCAGGAGTGACGTGCTCTGCAGGTGACGGGGGTCCTGGTGGGCCAGCCTCCAGGGGCATTGGCAGTGTGTGTCCTGGCCTTACATCTGCAGCCAGCTCCCTAGGCCGCTCAGTACACTGGCCCCCGAAGAAGGAAGGCCAGTGGTAGAGGCAGGATGTTGCCTGCTGTGCAGCTGAGCCCCGAGGAGGAAGGACCCCCACAGCCTGTTGGGCTCCAGTCCGCAGCCCTGAGGGACATGTATCATCTACGGGCAGTGCCACATGGTGGCTTGGAACATAGAGTATGGCTCCAGGTAACTGGGTCCAACCCAGCTCTTGACCTTAGGCATGTTATTGTCTGGCCTAGTCTCCCCAGTGGTAAGGAAGGAATCACTGTGACGCGTGAATGGGAGCACTCACACGTGATTTCCGGCCCAGGACCCCTCGGCGTGTGATTGTCATCGTCACTCTGTTTGTCTGGCCTGTAGCTTGGCCACCGCTGTGAAAGTTGCTCAGGGAGGGGGGCAACGCCAGAGGGGAAGGTCTGGGTGCCCTGTGACACAGTGGGCTGGTGTCACACCCAGCAGCCTGCCCAGCACAGGCACCCCTAGAGCTGCTGCCACCGCTTCCTGAGGACATGTGACTTCCTGTTTTCTAAATTCTTAGCCTGCAGTGTCATTGTCAGTTCGTCTGAGACTGGGAGTGGGGTTGAGCAGTAGTGGGACCCGGGCTCAAAGTTGGGGGTGCAAAGTAAGGAAGGTCAGAAGGCTTGGAAGGTGGCCCTTCCGACCTTAGTTGTGGGCTCCTGTGATTAATACTGGTGACATTAGTTCCTGTGAACTGAGCACTCACCAAGGGCCAAGTCCACCCCACTTGAGGGCCGCACGCCCTGGGAAGGAGCCAGGGTTGCTCGGGGTCAYGTGGTAGATGAGGCGGGTCTCGTCCTCACCTGCGGGGCCTAAGCGCTTCTGTTGAAGTGCAGAAGAACTGGACGTGAGCAGGCCGGGAAAGGCTGCCATGTAGAATGGCCTACTCTGCATAATTTGTGCTTCTGGAGACAGAACTGGAACCAAAGTGACTTTCTTATACTCTGAAAATTAGAGCTCTCTCTCCATCTTCGTGGATGGGAAGTGAGTAGCTCCCCATCACCAGAGCTGTTCAAGCAGAGGCAGGAGGTGCAGCTCAGGGAAATCCCTGCAGAAGGACTCACGTCCCTGGGGACACACAGGAGAAGAGAGGAACTTTGCATCAGGTGCCCTCCAGAGCTTTCCCGCTGTGCAACCTTTTGGCCTTAACAAGATCTGTCTGAGTGTGCAGCCAGATCACGGGAGGGCAAAGCATGCTGTAGGCCATGCAGGGTGCGTCCTGCCACGAGGGCATCATTTGGTGAGGCCGGGATTCTCAGCACGCCCACGCTGCCGAGGCCTCCTGTGCACCCAGCCCTCCATCCACAGTCACCAGCAACTGGGTGCTCACACCCCTGAAAGGCAGGTGTTCCCAAGGCTGGCAATCCTCCTGCCTCAGCCTCCCAAGCTGTCGGGATTTACAGGTGTGTGCCACTGCGCCCGGCTACCTCTTGACTTTTTTTTTTAATCTTTATTTTTTTAGTTGTAGGTGGACATACTACCTTTATTTTTTTTTTTAAGGTGGTGCTGAGGATTGAACCCAGTGCCTCGCCCATGCTAGGCCAGCTCTCTACCTCTGAGCGCCAGCCCCAGCCCCCTACCTCTTGACTTTTGACAGTAGGATTGTCTCCGACTTCCTAGTCCCCACCGTGCATGGTAAAGGGTCACTTTGGCCCATGCTGAGCAATTCTAATGGGAAGTCGTTCTTACAGATTTTATGGTTGGAGGAATTATTCTTATGTCCCCGAGTTCTGGAATGTGTGAGGGTTGCAGAAGTGAGGTAGCTGGTGGGGAGGGGCCTTCTGGGCCTGCACTTCTGTAGATAGCGGGTAGTTTGCTGAGGARCATAGTGTCCGGTTTAGCCAGGGGGCTGCAGGTGAACTGCTTTTTAAAAGAAAGGGCGGTGGGGGCGGTACAGTGGGCCAGTCCCCGCCCTCCTGACTCCTGTTCCTTCCCCGACAAGAGCCAGTCACAGAAGGTGGGTCGGGTGGGGTTGCAGGAGGGGGTAGTGCCAGCACTGGCAGGCCTGCAGGGTACTGGCTCCAGCAGAGGTGGAGGCCGGCGCAGGACCGCACTGTGCGGTCAAGGAGAGCCAGCAGTGAGCAGGGCTGTCTGGGCCTGGGGTGGTGAGGCAGACCTGGGTGGTGGGCCCTGGTTGGTGGCAGGAGCTGGAGGAAGTTGACAAAAGATCAGCTGGCTGGGGCCAGGAGGGGCCTTGAATCAGGGTGGGCACCAAAGGCTGTGGACAGAGGTGTTGAGGGTGGTGGGGATGGGGACAGAGGGGCAGCCTAGTCCCAGCTCCACGGCTTGTAGGGGGAGCCAAAGGATGGCTGGCAGGGAGGGTCCTCCCTGTGAGCTCTCTCCTGAGCTCTGGCGCCTGGTGCCGCTTGGAGGATCTGAGGAAGACCGCACCATGGCGGTGAGCGCTGGCCGCACACTCACTGAAGGAATGTGGCAGTTCCCATGCTCTTCACAGAAGGCAGCCGAGGGGGCAACCTGCCCAAGTCACCCAGCCCAAGTCACCCAGCTAGTAAGGCTGCGCCTCCTCAGGACCTTGTCCACTCCCTGTGCCCGCTTGAGCCCTGTGCGGCCACCAGAGGGCGCCTGCGTCCGGAGAGGCCACCTGGCTGGGGTGGAGGGAGGGGGACCAGCTGCTGCGTCCAGCCCAGAAGCTGGGTCCCCTCCCTAACGGTGCCAGAATCTTTTAAATAAAAATGTAATGTTTTGAACTACCAACAATAAAAAAAAACCAAAAAAAATTTGAATACTAAAAAAAGTTTTAGTGTTTAACAATAATTTGGAAATGTAAGATAAGTATTCATAGATGAACTCTTCTCTAATATAACATACCTATAGTTTTTTGTTTTGTTTTTGTTTTTAATCATCACCACCATTTTTGAGACTCTTTTAAAAACCTTCTTTGGAATAAACTGTGAACTTCAAATATTTTTGTCAAGTAAACTTGGCAGAAATTAGTGTAAATTAACTTTGTATTTTCTACTTCAATTTTTAGTTGCCATAATGTAAATAGTGTAATAGAATATGTAATTCAAATATTAGCATTATTATCTTTTGAAAATTTGCAATGTTAATCAAAACTGGACTGTACTGTAGCTTGCTTTCTTTTCTTTTTTTTTTTCTTTTTGTGTGTGTAGCAGAACTCTTCCTGTTAGTTTAAAGAACACAAAGTGAAATTCCTCAAGGATTACAAATGTAAAGTTAAGATTATTGTTTGAGCTGAAGTATATAAATTACACAATTACTAGAGATGCAGTAAAAGAATAAATAATACAATTTCAACTGTGAAAAAAAAATGTAAGCCGCACATTTACTGGACCATGTCCCTGCCCTTTGTACCCGAGTACCAACTCAGGGTGCACTGAGGGCAGTGTGAGAAGGTCAGTAGGGCAGCAGGAGCCGGGCACCCTTGGAAACTTGGAGTGGAGAGGCTGAACAGAGGACTACCCAGCTAAAACGGCAGGGTGTGCGACGTTCAGCTGTGGCAGGATTTTAGGGAGGAGGAGGAAGAGGATCAGTGTGGGCAACGGCACAGAGATGTGTCTAGGGGGCCAGGACTGGTGGACAGGGAGTTCAGGCCCCAGAGRGAGGTGGACCTCTGGTCCCTTGGGGCCTGGGGGTAGGAAGCCAAGCACCAGAGCCACCACCGGGGTGGAGAGTCCTGGCAGTGAGGAAGCTGGGAGTCAGGAGGGTAGAGCTGACCCTGGTTCTCATCGTCCTGACGTCACCTGACCACTGAGTCTCTGAGCCCACCCTTCCCAGGCCCCAGAGTCCTGCTCTCTCCTGTGGGTGGCCTTGGGAGCCACATACCCTAGTCATCCAGATGGGGGCATCTGGCTGAAGCTTCCTGAGTTCACGGCTCATGTCGGGCTCACTTGCAGCTGGGGCTGGGCTCCCAGGGCACAAGCCCTGTGGTGGACAGCTTCGCAGTTCTGGGTGCCTGCCCCATCTTCCCAGGCTCTGGGGCTCCTGCAGGTATCACGCAGCCACTGTGGCAGCAAGCTGCTCCAGGAGCTGGCTGAGGTGGGATGGCAGGGCGGGGTCTACGTCCTTGTCATGGTTTCTTTGGCCACACGGTCACAGGGCACCCTGGGTGGTGGGACGTGTTCTTGTTATCCTGGGCCTGGCTGACCAGGGTCTCTTGGCAGAGGCACAGAGCTTTGGCCTGCTGGATCCTAAACTCTGCTACCTGCTGGATGGAATCCTCTTTATCTACGGTGTCATCGTCACTGCCCTGTTCCTGAGAGCGAAGGTGGGTACCCAGGGCTCTGGAGAGGGTGCAGAGAGGCCTTGGTCTTAGTTTCAGGCTTGGTGGTACCTGGGGCTTGGTTCCCACAGCAGAGCAAGGCCAGACCCAAGTGCATACTTGGGGCCGAGCCTGATGGGGGTGGGGGAGCTGGTGCTGCACCAGGGCCTGAATGGCAGCGTCCCCTGCAGGGGCCACTGCTGGAGAGCAAGGGGCTTCTGCAGAGGTGTCATGGTCAGGAGGTGGAGGACCCACAGCCTCTTCCCAAGTCCTGCTGCCAGCTGCCAACTGAGGCCATGTCAGCTTCTCTAGAAACCTGTTGGCTCAGAGCCCTGATTTCACCATGGGCTGGTGAATTTCTTAGAGACCCCAAATTTCTTAGAGGGGCTGGACCTGGTGTGGACAGAGGGTGGAGGTTACTGTCATCACTGTCTGTCACCTCTAACCCATTCCCCCTTGGAATTTGTGCTCTGACATAAGATTTTACTTAAAAAAAAAAAAGACTCTTTTCTTCTACTGTTTTTTGTTTTGTTTTGTTTTGTTTTAATTTGGAAAGGGGCCCTGGCTGATCTCCAAGTTTCTTTCCAGTGCCCCGACTCTAATGCCTCGAAGTTCCTCCATGAGGTGGCCTGTCCTGTAGAAAGAGCCAAGTTGTGCTAAACTTGGGGCAGATGCTCCAAGTGCTGGAGCCCAAGGCTGAGGCTTCCTGCTCAGGTGCTGCAGGGCTAAGGTAGAGGGCTAGGGTAGGGGAAGGACAAAAGCCCTGGCCCAGGGGGCGAGAAGGAACTTGTGCAGTCACAACCACTGTGATTGTTCCGAGTCCCTGGAATGCCCACCCTGCACCTCTGTGGGCAAGGGCGACTGGCTGGGACAGGAAACCTCAGATTCCGGGACAAAGTCACAGGCAGGCGAAGAAAGGGCACCTGAGCTCGGGAGAGGGCTGCCGTCTCAGACCCCTGCAGGCAGCACAGGCAGGGCAGGGCCACCGTGAAGCCTTAACCCGCTGCTCTGTTGCAGTTTGGCAGGAGTGCAGACGTCGCCGCCTTGCAGCAGGGCTCAAACCAGCTCTACAATGTAAGTCCACTGGTCCACCTGTCCGTCTGTCACCTGTAGGCAAGTAGTTTGCCGTTTTCTGACCCATGAGACATGGCAGGGGTGCCGTGGGCATGTGATGCATGTAGCCAGCCTCCAGGGAGCCGCTCGGCCTTCAGCAATTCGCAAAGGCTAGAGGCTGCAGATAATCCTCCCAGCAGAGGATGACAGTCACATGTCCCTTTCAGTGGGACTTTGGTCCAAMTGATGACCCTCTAGCAGCCTGGGCTTCCTTATCTGCTCATGGGAATGTTGTGACTTGTCCATCTGATTGACCAGCATGTAGTAAGAAAAGCATCTGGTGACTCTGGGTCCCTCCCACSGTCACGGTGACCATTGTGCTCTGAGAGGTTCTCTCAGGTGACGGTATCCAGATGGACCAGGTGCCCCCACCTCCCTCACCCTGCTCCCTGTCCCCTTTCTTTGTGAACCACCACCGAGAAGCCGAGCAGGCTCCCCCCGTCCCGCTGGCCCATCCTCCCCGGTTCCTCTTCCCCATGTCTGACACCTTTTTATTTTAGGAGCTCAATCTGGGACGGAGAGAGGACTATGATGTCTTGGATAAGCATCGGGGCCGGGACCCCGAGATGGGAGGGAAGCAGGTAGGGAGCCCCTCTGTGCCTGTGTGGAGGTGGGCTTGTGGGTGGGTCCCCTGCACCAGCACACATGGGGCTGGGGTGAGGTGGCGGCTGRCTGGCTGCCAGCTCTCGACCCCTCCTTGGCTCCTTTCTGCATCACAAGGGGCCTCGAGCTCAGGAATACTTGTGGGCCTTGTGTCCAAGCGCCAGCTGCTGTCCTGGGAACTGCTCCTTGGCCATGGGGCCACCACCTGCCCCCAGGAGGACAGACCTGACGAGAAGGTCCACACAGAAAGGGCTACGACCACTTAGCGAGGATTGTGGGTCTGAGGACCCTCCAGAGCCTCCTCAGAGCCAGGCTTCGGTGGCTTTGCCAACTCCACCCCTGGTGGCAAGCGGGACAGACAACAAGGCCAGAGCAGAGTTCTCTCAGGAGCAGGGCTTCCAACAGAGGCAGAAACTGCCCTGTGGCCCTTGATGTGTGGGGTCACACCTGCCATCAGCCCTTCCCTAGCCCCTCGGAGCCCTGGGCTGGGTGTGCACTGCTGGAAGGAATGGGTAATAGGAGAGGCCACCGATTTCCTTGAACACTGCCATCCTCTTTCCTCCTCTTCCCTGGACTAGGAGGTCTGTGGGAAGGGGGAAAGGAGGGGCTCTTCTCTGCATGAAGAGAGGACCTGCAAACAGGGGGTGGCCTCCAAGATTTCTGTCCTCAGCCACAGTCTCACTTGTGAGCCTTCTTTATTTTTGGTACTGGGTTTTGAACCCAGGGATGCTTTACCACTGAGCGACAGCCCCAGCCCTTTTTACTTTTTGAGATGAGGCTTCACCGAGTGGCTGAGGCTAGCCTTGAACTTGCAATCCTCCCGCCTCAGCCTCCTGAGTTGTTGGGACTAGAGTGCGCCACCACCACACTGGGCACATAGAATGCTTTAGACACACCTGAACTACTCTGGAGGTCAAACAGACTGTCAGCAGACACCCTGAGGCCACCCTGGACAAGACAGGAGAGGTGTGTCTCCAAGTGCTGGCAACCGGGCGTGAGCCGCCTGGTGCAGCAGGGGCCTGAAGGTGGCCTCCCTGGGCTGTGGCGGGCAGGGAGGAGGGAGGCGGGTGGCAGATCTCGCAGGTGGCCTGAGCCTCCCCTCCTGATGTTCCCTCATTTCTTTCCTAGCAGAGGAGGAAGAATCCTCAGGACGGCGTATACAACGTGAGTAGGGAGGACCTCCCGTCAGGGCAGGGGAGGGCTGAGGGGCTCTCCTGCACAGGTGTCCCTCCCTGGGTCATGCACCTGGTTTCTGCTTGCAGCCTGCAGTGCCTCTACTTGAGGAAAGGTGTCGCCCCTGTCCCCTGCCCTTGCCTTGGCTCTGTTAGCCTGGAGCCCGCTGCTGGAGTTCCTAGGTCCACCGGCCTGTGGGGAGGAAGGCCACCGGCAGGCCAAGCTGGGTGGGAGCCCCTCCTGGGCTGCGGCTCCTGGGGGCTGGCATTTCCTGAGGGCTTTTTTTTTCTGYACTGAAGCTCACGCCTCCCCATGCTGGGCAAGCACTGACCACTGGGCTCCACCCCGGTCTTGCTGAGGCTGGCTTTGAACTGGCAATCCTGCTCAGCCTCCCTGAGTTGCTGGGACTTCAAGTGTGCTGCTTTTTATTGAAATATCCACTCCACCACCCTCGGAGCTTCCCGTCCTTGCTCTGCAGAAAGCCGATCCACAGCCCGTGTCATTGGCTGTGTAGAGACAACTTGCTCAAATGAATGATTAGGGACTTGGCGAGACCTTTACTGTGCAGTGTCCCTGCCGTGGCCTACAACTCCACTGCRCAGAGAGCTACAGCTCGGAGCACATCCCCAGAGGCTGAGGAGCAAGTGGTGGGTGGAGAGACGCTGGCYGCCTGAGGCTGGGGTGGGACGGTGCAACCCTGTCCCTGGGGAATCCAGAGGCTTTCTGGCGGCAGAGCCCACTCTCTCCTGCAGTAAATCAGTGCCTCCTGCCTTCTCCTCCAGGCACTGCAGAGAGAGAAGATGGCGGAGGCCTACAGTGAGATTGGGACGAAAGGAGAGGTGAGTGTGCTGCTGGACTCCTGAGGGGTTCCTCAGCGTCCTCCAGGCATGCCTGCCACAGGATCCCTCTCCCGCCTGTTCCTCCTGAGACTCCCAGAAGCCCATGTGGTTGCCCTCAGGGGCAATGTGACTCCAGGGCTCCCCAGGAGGACACTACATGAGGCAGAAGCGAGTCAAAGCCTCACTCCTAACAGGAAGCACTGAGGGCCCCAGGTGTGCCCAAACGGTCACTGACTGGGACGGGGGTCTCAGGGCAGGATGGAAGCACAGGGGCCTTTGTACATAAGTGATCAAGGATTTCAAAATGGAGAGAGAGCATGCCGAGTCCCTCTGACGGGCGCTGTGTGTCCGTGATGCCCACGTGGCCAGCACCTCGCACTGGGGGTTCCACGAAGTCCCCACAGACCTGGTGAGGCTTGTGTGTGTGCCCGAGGCACGAGAAGGTAAATGGCTCACCCCAGGTCACGCAATCAACAGGGAGTGGGGTTTTCCACGACTCCCCCGGAGCTCATGACCACTGTGCAGAGCCACTCCTGGTGAGCAGACAGCAGGCGAGATTTTCCAGAGCTGCAGGGGGCCATTTCCAAGCTGTGGGCAACAGGGCAGCCCCTGTGAGGGTCTGAGTGGGGCCTGACCGTACTCTGCAGGGCCCCTCCTCCCTGGGGCGGAGGGCGGGGTAGGTGTGGGCTTGGACAGTCACCTGACTTCCCAGAGGTGGGCCTGAGCAGGAGCCCCTGCTGACTCCACACACCCCTTCTCTCTCCACAGCGTCGGAGAGGCAAGGCGCAAGACGGCCTGTACCAGGTGAGAGCCCAGCCTCCCCCGACTGGGGCCCAGGGTTCAAGGCTAGTGGCATCAGTTTTCGCCAACAGCAGGGCAGGCGCTCCGGGGCTCCTGCAGGCCAGCGGCAACCCCACTGCCCTAAGCCCCTGCGCAGGGCTGGGACCCAGCCACTCCACCAGATTATGTGGCTCTAGCCAGGAAGCTGTGGGCACCCCATGCACAAGGCCACAGCAGACAGGAGGCCGCTGTCCAGAGGGTATGGGGCTCCCCAAAGGAACAGACAGCTGTGGGCACAGGCTCCTACACAAGTGACCCCTGACCGTCCACATCTGTGGCTGGGTCCTGGCAGAGGCCTTCTCTGCCTCTAGTCGGCCTTGGTCAGGGAGGATGTGCAGGAAGGTTGAGGAAAAGGAAGAGAAAGGGCAACTTCAAAAGGAAGATTGTTATTACAATGAGGTGCCTGGCTCATGCAAATCAGTGCAGAAGATTATGCAAACTGAGCGTATTCAATCTACTTCTCTACCAGGGTCCCCAGGGGTCCAGTTTCTCCAGGCTTCCTGGTGCGGGCTTGCCACAGGACAGTGATATCAAAAGTGGCCTGGCTTGGCTTTGGGAAAAGGGAGGGGCCTTCCACCAGAGTGGGGTGGGGGCACCTTGAGTGTCAATTATTACATGACTGGCAAACTCACTGTAGGGACAGGGTCTGGGAACAGTAGCCAGCCCCTCTCTCCCTAGGACTAGTTCTCAGGTATCAGAGCAGCAGATTCTCTGGAGCAAGCCTGGCCCCTTTCCTGAGACTGCAGCTCAGTATTTGAGGTGGGGGAACTTCTTCCTCTTGATGACAGGAAGGGGGCCTGGTCCAGGCACCTGGGATGCAGCTTGGGGAGAGGTGAGCGCCCAGCTGGAGGGGAGCCTTCTCTCCAGCAGCTCCTCCAGCCAGGGGCCCACCTATGGCTCCTGGAGGTGGGGGCAGGGCATGGGGAGGTGGCTACGGGTTCTGACCACTCTTCCCATTTGCTTTCACCAGGGCCTCAGTCCAGCCACCCAGGACACCTACAATGTTCTCCACATGCAGGCCCTGCCCCCCCGCTAACAGTGTGGGTCTCACCAGCCCCAGGCCTGACCTGCTGATGCCAACTGTAAGACAGGATGAGCTCTTTACCACCGCCTTCCCTCATACTTCTCAGCCACTGAAGTACTCCCCTCCACAAACAGGATGCTTCCCAGTTGTGACATTTGCTGATCTCCAATTCCAAGCCCTGGCACAAAGAACATGTCCCTGGGCTCCAAGGGAGTGCAGCCCACAGTCACGGGCAAGGCCCTGCCCTTAGGACTTCAGACTTGCTGATGCCTGGAGAGCAGCCCTCTCCCTTGGCTCCATGTCTTAACCTGGGGCTGGGGACAATTCCCTCACAGCTGGGTTAGGTCTGCCTTGTGAAGTCCAGGGCAGGCCCCAGTGTCAGCACATGTCCTGTCTGTACTGCTGTCAGGAATCTGAGTGGCTTCGCTCCTGCTGTCAACCCCCCCCCCCCCACACACACACTTCAAGGTAACCTGTGCTTGGGCCACTCTGGAGGGCTGGGCAGAAGGGCCAGTCCTCCATCAGACATGCCTCTGCATCACCAAGCCGCATGCCAGGCACTGTGGGGGGTGGAAAAACGTGCAAGGCTGTCCTTGTCCTCACAGGTTCACATCTTAGAGGGAAAATGAGTCGTGCACAATGTGGTTTAAAAATTAGGAAATGGAGTGTGAACGCGGAGTGTCACTAAGATTATGAACAAAGCCTGGAAGTGAGTAGGGAGGAGTCCTTCCTGCCCTGCTCCCAGGCACCGTCCCTCAGCCTCCCGGGAATGGCAAGCCCGTCCTGGGGACTAAAGGACATGTGGCCGTGGGTGGCAAACCCTCTTTGCTCTGCTTGGTTTTAACTTATACTGGCTCGCTAAAGCCCATTTCGTATAATAAATGCTTCAGTGAAACCGGTGCTGTCCCCTAAGCTCTGTTCAGCAGTCAATCTGTGATGGCGACGCAGTCGGTCACTGGGAAAGCCGTGTCACCCTTGCTCCGGGGGAACTGCCTATTCTACCAGGAACATGCAGGTGGACATAGGTGCGCCAGCCCAGAGTGCTGCCATGGGGTCAGTGCGGGCCAAGCAGGGCACCTCAGGTAGTGGCCGAATCCACTCCTGAGAGCAGTGCCCAGTATAGGAGTGTTGGCCCAGTCTTGTGCCCCAGCCCAGAGAGGGCAACGGGCAAGGAGCCCTGCAGCATCATGCCCAGCTCTAGAGGGCAGGAGACCCCCCCCCCCSGAGGCCAGAAGTGGGTGATGCTGTGGGCAGAGGGTGCCCGGGAGTCAATAGTAGCACATGCCACCGCACTGAATGTCTCAGCCCACAGGGCTGCAGGTGGGTGGTGGGCAAGAGGTCTTCAGGTCAGTTTCCCTCTGGAAGGTGGCCCTGCCCATAGCGGTGGCTCTCTGTGAAGCCCCAACTCGTCGAGCCCACCTGTTAAACTTTGTGAGGTCACTCTGAAGCCAGAGCCTTGGCTTGGTCAAGAAGTCCAAAGCCACCTAYCCCCTGAAAACCTGGGACTCCCACAGCACTCTGTACGCTGCCGGGCACAGGGGACAGCCCAGAGAGAGGAGAACCTCCACCTGGGAGCAGCCTGGCAGGGGAACCCACTCCTGAGCCTCGAGCGCTGAAGTCTGCTGCTTCTGTCTGTTGAAATGAGTGAGCCGTACCCAGGGCTGCGCTAACCTAACCTCATTTCAGGAGGAGCAGAGTTACACATAGGCTGCGGGACCTGCACTGACCCAGTTCTGTCAGACAAGTCTGAGACGGCGGGTGGGAACCAGCAGTGCGCTGAGGGGGCTGGTGCTGACTGTGTGGGGGACTGGACGGCTCCCAACAGCACAAGTGCACAGAGCGCGGCTGGGAGAGGAGCAGACTGCCCACAGAGGAGAGYGCAGAGGGCAGAGCTCCTGGGAGAACGAGGCCCTGCAGGCCACGACTGTCAAGACCCTGCCCTGTTCCTCGTGCTGGCACAGAGAGACACACCTCCCAGTCCAGGAAACAAGGAGCTGGACCTGCATGGGGAGCCCAGAGTTTGTCAACTGGGGCAGCAGCGCGGAGGACACCTGCAGGGGCTGGCCATGCCGGTGTCTGGCCAGCTGTGGTGTGTGGGCTTCCTTCTGCCAGCGGCCCTTCTGTGAGTCAGAGTCGAGTCCTGACCATGTCTGTGCCTCAGTGACAGCCCCTCRCACTGCTGCTCACGCCCTCTCCAGGAGCCGTCAGAACAGACCTACCTTACGAAACGGGACGCAGGCTCAGGTCCATCCCTTCCCTCTATTCCGTAGGATGTGACACCAGGTTTTCACGTGCTGAAGTCTGTCTTATGTTGTCTTTACCAAGGAGAGAGTTTCTGTGAAGAACTTGAAATTATTTTAGGAAGACACTTTACAAACTCGCACACAAAGCTGTATGTGCGAGAAGGGAACCCAGTGCCTCCTCGCTTCGGACCTTCTGTGGGACAGTGGCCTCATCTTGAGATAGGCACTCTCTTCTTCTGTAAACTCACAAACGCAAGACGTCGACCTGGGGATCAGACCCCACAGCTTTCTGACAAGGTCAGGCTTTCTCTGGAAAATTCACCTTAGTTTCAACTTTCCTTCCTATGGAACCCTGCAGTGGCCCATGAAGACACAGTGCTGAGGGGCACAGTGAGCCAGAGGCAGCCGTGTGCGCTCCCTCACACAGGAGACCAGCCTCCCTCAGAGGACCCCGGGGAGACCAGATGCTCAGGGTCTGGCAAGATGTGCCCGACGGGCGTGCCAGCCAAAAATACATTCAGGGAAGTGGAGTTCAATCCAAGTTCTGCAGTCCCACCTGCACAGCAGGACGGGAGCTTTGAAGAGTCCCCTGTCAGGATCATCAAGCAAGAGCCTGCATGTTTGATGACACAAAGCACTTGTGCTCAACACAGGGTCCCTTCTAGACCACCCTGAGGGCCTGGGGAGGGGAACTCAGTGCCACAGCTCCCCAAGGGTAGGAGCCAAGCCAGTGTGAGCGGATGGAGACTCGGGCTCCCGAGAGCACCTGCTGTGAAATGCAGGCTGGAAGGGTTATAGGAGTCATCTGCCAGAAGGTGGGTGAAGGATCCAGAATGCCAACACAGCAACCTCACAGAAACCATGTGAAAACACTTGAAAAATGGTTTAATGATGTTTTACAACAGAAACGAACTGTACAGTTACAGTAAGTTTAATATATATATATATAAAAATTACAGCAGACAAATGCATCTACACAAAATCTACCAATTCATTCTGACTCACTGGCACCTGTGCAGTCTCTCCCAAGCCTTCAGCCCTGCGGGCAGCAGGAGGGGGTCACATAAAGGGCACTTTTGAAGAGACAGCACCTCTCACAGTCCCCACCACCTCCGCAGGCTTGGGAGGCTTCGGCTAGCTAGTTCCCCAGCAGGTAAAGTCGTTTTGTTTGAGGTTTCCAAAACCAGGAAACCTCTGTTTCCCAGGGGCACAGATAACAAGGTCCAGTGCTCCAAGTCATCAGTTGATTCTTACAAAATATTTCTACCCGAGGGGAAATGGCTACACAGGCGCTCTGGGGCAGTGAGGCTATACAATAGCCACCCAGACTGCAAWGTCGTCTAAGGAGAAATGTAAAAGGACTCCCAGTAAACTACTTAGGAATTGTCACTGCCTCATTAAAGCTGCTGGACAATTTTGGAAAGAATCATTTACACCACGTCTTAAGTTTCCACAAAGAAGAACTCAAACTCACATTTTAAAGTACATAAAACAAGAAGTTTTAGGAGGTCAGGGGACAATTCCCCTTGTACCCCTCCCTTGACAACAGTGGAAAAACACCCCTGAATCAGTAATTTAAAAAAGAACAAGAAAGAAAAGGAAGAAAAGGTGGGGGAGTTAAGATATTTGAAGACAGAGAAAAAGAAAGCATCTTTAGAAAAACACAATCACTGCTTCTTTAAAACAAAACAAAACCCAGTTGGGCACAGTCATCAATGATGATGTGATCCAGATGACACTTGGTGGAGGACTATTACTGAATATTATGTACACTCACAACTTTTTCATTTTCTTTTTTATTATGAACACCTAGGCAGTGAAAACTGTTATGTTAATACATACACAGACACACCCAAAACATACAAAAATACTATTATTTCAAACTACTAAGAAGAGGACAGTTCAATTAGTTCCATGCTATGACTTTAAGAGCATTACACTGAAACAAACAAGAAGTTAAACGACATTTTTTTTTTTTTAAATCCCAGAAATATACCAAAATATACATCTAAGCTTTGGAATTACTGAGGTTAGACTAATGCAAGTGCTGGGTAATCGTACTTAATACACAAGTCTAAGGTTCTGCAGGAAAGAAATTTTCTTTGGTATCTGCATCAGGCTAATATTATTAACATTTGGATTTTGCTTTGGGATAGAGCTTGTATGACCCTAGAACCAAATACCCCCCTCCCCCAATCAACTGAGATTAAAAAGATCCATGTAAAAAGTTCCTTCATTTGCAACCCCCCAGGTTAAAAAGTCACAGGCATCGACCTAGCGCGAGAGGTTGTGAAGTACAATGCATAGTTGCACAGTGGTGCTGGGAGGGGAGACAAACCGCAATGGAGAGAAGCGAAACGCCCGATGGGCGTCCTGCGGCCTCCGGCCACCCCAAGCAGCTCAGTGAAGGAGAGAGGAAAGCTCCGAGGCCCTGACGAAAGCCCTGCAGAGCAGACCACCGCGCGCCAGTGTCCCAACTTCCCCCACTCTGCGGGGCCTGTGGCCTGGCCAGCAGCGGCTCTGGCCCCCTAGTCCCTGTGCTAAGTCCCCCTGGTGGCCCTGCTTGCAGTCGGATGGAGTATGGTGTGACGGGGTTTGGGAAATCTGAAATGCCAATTGCTTCCTGGCATGCTCACAAGCTGGCAAGCGCCAGAGCCACCGAGACACACCTGAACGAAACCCCCAGCGTGGAAAACAGCTCCCCGCCCTGTAGAGTCCGAGGCCCTGCCCGGCCCCACTGCGCCAAGTGCCAGGACGTGGCGAACTGGCTGATGCTGAAGACTTACTTCCCTTTTCTTTGGTTTTTTTGTTTGTTTTGAGTTTATACAATCATTAAGAAATCTTTGGTTTTGGCTGGAAATTTAAAAACAAAACAAAACAAAACAAAACAAAGAAACCACCCTCCCCTGGCTTATAGCAGCAGTCTGAGGACCTGGCGAAGGGTTTCTTCAGCTTTACGGGTGGGAACTGGAGGCCAAGCACTACATTCAAAGAAAAGGTGAAAGGGCTGGGGATGCAGCTTCTGAAGAGCCCACTGAATATAAGATTGTCAAATAATAATAATAATAATAATATAATAATAATAAAAAACAACTTAAATATTTGGATTTCTTTTTTTTTTTTGGTCATGTCAAAGGAAAAAAGTGAAATGTGTACACAGCAGTCCACTCCAAGGGACCTCTGGTGTCTTCCCTTCCACCCAGGGCTCAGGGGAAGGAGACGGCCTGGACCCCACCTGGGGAGAGGCAAGGACAGAAGTCAATGTGTGGCCAGAGTCAGAAATACGGGGTGGGGTGGGGCGCAGACAGCTGGCACCCTGAAGGCAGGTGGCAGGACAACCAGGTTATGAGACCTGGGAAGACCCTGGCAACAAAAGGAACCCTGGGCTGCGACCTGCCCCAGCTCGCAGGAGCCTCTGAGCAGCGGCATTCAGGGGCTCCTAGGGTCCCACCCTAGCCACAGGTCCCACAATGCTATAGGCCAGAGTTCAGCGTTGCCGAAAGGGGAGGGTGGGTTGGGCGGCTCTGTGGGGCTGAGAGGAAGTTAAAGCAAGCCACTCAGTCACGAGTTAGCAATGAGGTATACAAGAGCTCCCACGCCAGGTGG